AGGAAAAGAAAACTTTATTGAATATGTTCAATATGTTGTGCATAAAAATGAAGCAAACGTATCCAAACCATCCCAACATATGACCAACTATCAGCCTTTACCCAACCAAGTACTTTCTCAGTTAGAAGTTTTTAGGCCTGGGTTATATAATGAGGCAAAAGCAATAATGGAATAAGGGTTCACATCTATTAATCCTAAGGATTATGATGTGAAGTGGGAAACTTTCAAAAATCCTGTTAACTCTGTCATTCAAAGTCTGAAGAATTTCTCGACTAAGGAAGTCACTACGTCTAGCTAGAAGAAACTATTCAATCATGAAGCTAAGGTAGCTTCAGTTGCTGAATGTCAAGAGATGATGAAAGTTCAGATGGCTAGTAACCAACTGTCAGTGGATGCTCAATTCAAAATTATTGTTGCAAGGCAAGAAGAAATCGATTCTGATATCAAGACAGTCATGGAATTATTGAAGAAATCTTAAGTCTAGGATGTAGAACCTATTTATGTACTTGTTGACTTGTTTATGAATCTCTTATGCGTTTTATGATATAATTGTTAAGTTATCTCGTATCAGTTTGCTTTATACAAGTTGTACGAGAGAAACATAAAGCAAGAACTGGTCTCTTTATAACTAGTTTTTCTTGAAACATTTCTGTGAATTGGATGAATTCTTGAGGAAATTATGTCAATATGTTTTTATAGTAAGATTTAAGTAATCACTCAAGTACAAGTATGAAATCTGTGCACCAATGAAAACTGGTCTTGTGATCTCGATACTCAATTTGAATCTGACTACTATAAACCCTATAAGGTATCTTTGACCATCTCAGAACAACACACTTTTGTTTGATATTTGCTTTAATTTGTCACCTCTTGTACCTTTTTCTCTTAGTTTTAAATCTTTTTGATGTGACAAAAGGGGGATAAAGATATAGAAGTATTTAATAAAGAATCTGAACCCTTCATATTTTAATGTTGTTTATTTTAATTATTTAAAATTCTATTATTTCTGTTATTTTGGTTATTACCCGAGAGAAATATCTTAGTTTTCATGATAGTAGAACTTAGGTGGAGCTTCCAAACCTAAACTTTTGGACTATTAGACTCAGAGGGAGCTTACAAACCTCAGACCCAGGTGTTGCCAAGTAAATTAAAGTATATTTTAGTTTTCTTGTATATAGATCTAAAGGGGGCTTACAAACCCCAACCTTGGACTATTAGACTCAGAGGGAGCTTACAAACCTTAGACTCTGATGTTACTAAGAAAATTAAAATAGCCCAACATTGACATATTTTAGTTTTCTTGAATATAGAACTTAGGAGGGAGGTTACAAACCCCAACCTTTGACAATTAGACTCAGGGGGAGCTCACAAACCTCATACCCTGACGTTGCCAAGAAAATTAAATAGTCCAACACTGTTTTTTAAATACTTATGTTTGTCATCATCAAAAAGGGGGAGATTTTAAAAACAAGATTTGTTCATGACATATATCCTTTGGGTTTTGATGATAACAAAGTATTGAAATAACAATGGTGTTATCTAATGTATGTTCCAAGTGTACAGGTTCTAAAGCTTAAAGAAGAATATACTCATAATCTGATATAAGGGCGCACATAAGAGAAGCTAAGTTATTGGCTTCTGGTAGTTCAGAATCTTAAGAATGTTCTTTAAATGAAGTCTGATGATATAGGTTTGCGTAGACTCTGAAGCTGAAGGCTTCATCATCAGAAGAGCAATATATTATCTCTAAAATTGTTGAATGCATTAGCTTCTGGTGATCATTCAGAACCAGTGATAAAGCTAAGTTATCTGTACTACAAAAAGCAAGCTACAATGTCAAATCAATTTTTTAGCTAGAGTATGTGTTCACAAGGCTCAAGAAGAGTTGACATGTTTTACGAATATCTACTCTCAATGGATCTATAGTACAAGATCACAAGAAATATTCAATGGATAAACAAGTTACATAATGGATCAAGATCTTTTGTTGTATCTATCTTCAACGTCTCTTCTACTATGGAGTAACAAACACATTTGTACAAGTTATCTCTTCCAATGGTTATTCCTCTGAAACTGCTATATAAGTAGCTGAAGATTCAAGATGGATTTTCAACAAGGAAAATAAAGAAGAAGAGCCATGAAGGATAGAAGTGTTCCACGCTTCTATCAGAATGGAAGAATAACAAGATCAACAATAGATACACAATCGAGTATGTAAAAATTATGTTATGTGTTGTAAATTGTACAAAGCCTTGAAATTTCTTAAACATTGAATATCTTAAAAATCTTAAGCGTTGTGATCTTTGTTATGGTTATTACCATGTACCTCTAATTATGTATCAAGTATTGTTCTCTAATCTGCTAAAAAATTTGTTTTGTAGTTTAGACAAAGTCTCTTGCTATGTGCTTGAGCATCAAAGTCTCTTACTATGAAGCTATGTGCTTGATCAGTTGTTGATTAAGCAAGAAATTCTTGGACTGAGGGTCGAAGCAGAAGTCTTGAGCATGGAGGGCTTGAGCGAGGAAGTCTTGAATTTGTGGGATTTAAGAAAGAGTTCTTGGACTGTAGGTCTAAGCAGAAGTCTTGGATTTGTGGAATCTGAGCAGGGAAGTCTTGGATCGAGGGTCTGAGCAGAAGTCTTGAACCTGTAGGGTTTAGGCCAGAAAGTATTAGATTCGTGGAATCTAAGCAGGAAGTCTCTAGTTGAAGGTCTGAGCATAAAAGTCTTATGCTTTAGTGCATAAGCAGTTGTAATAATGTTTTGATTATAACGAAAAATTTCTTGTGTTGCAATGCAACTGGAGTACTCTCAGTTAGAGAGGAATCTGAATAAATCTTTGTGTGTTCTATTGTTATTTATTTGCTCTATTATTATTCTGCTACAACTAGTTAATCAAGTTCTAAACTAGTGTTTAGATTCTGAACTTTGTTCAAAAGCATCGAATTCGGTGAACACAATTTAACCCCCCTTCTTATGTATTTTTCTCACCTGAAAAAACCACTTGAGAGATTGGATAGAGAGATTGAAAAGAGTGCAAGTTGGACAACAACTTATGTTGGACAATTGACATTCCAAGTTACCCATGTCCTGTTTACTGATAGCTTTGTGGTTGATTTGGCTAATCAAACATGTTCATGTAACTTTTGGAATCTCATTGGAATTCCATGTAGACATGCATTTTCTGCAATCCATAGGAAAGTTGATGATCCCATTAATCATGTCTGTAAGTGCTATCACAAGTATACTTATGTCAAATGTTATGAAGATAATATCACTCCTTATAATGGCCAAAATAAGTGGCCCCAAACCAATGATCCTGTCATTTACCCTCCCATGTTCAAAAGGGTCCCAGGGAGGCCAAAAAAACTTAGAAGAAAGGAACCTGATGAATCAAATGCAACTAAGTGGCAAATAACAAATACTACTCATAGGTACAAGACATATTTGAATTATGGTCACAACACTATGACATGTAAGAAGAACAAACAGATTGTTCTACACAAGAACCAAAATATAACAACAATTAAAATACCTACACATGCAAGTCTGACTAGAAGTGTTCATAAGGCAACATCAAAAAAGGTTAGTCTAGTGCTTTTGATTAATATTCTCATATGCTTATTATTAGTATTTTTATTAGTATTTGTATAATGCTTTTCACGGGAGACCTAAAGGGTCATTGAATAAGAAAGACAAATGGGCTCCAAGTAAGGCACCAAGTCATGCATCAGTGTAAGATGCTCAAACTGCACCACCCCCAGTCACATATCTTATCAATGAGGCACCAAGTTAGGTATCAGCGCAAGATGCTTATACTACACAACCTCAAAATGCTCAGGCTGCACCACCACCAAGTCCAAATAGAAGAGGATACCTTAATGAAATAGATCTAGATGTACTAGAAGCAATTCTCAATGATATCAACAATGAAGGGGATATTGTTCTTGACATTCCACCTCTTAAAGTTGACTTCATCCCTATCAAGCAAAAGCCTATTATAAATCAAGGCCCTTCAAAGCCTAGTGGTGTCAAAACCTTCTTTGGGAGCGCACCAAAAGTCAAACCCTCCAAAGCATTCAAACCTCCAGGAAATGTCAAGGAAACCTATTGTGATCCTATAAGTTTGATTATACATACTAATATCATTTTATTTTTTTGTTATTTAAGTTTGATTATGGCTGTTAATTGACAATTTAGGTTAAGCCTATGGCTCCAAAGAAGAAACAAGCCCCAACAGTTGTGGTGCATACCAGAAAGAGTGAAAAACTCATGACTATAAAAACGAAAGACATCAAGGGGCTTGGAAGACACCCTAAAGGTCCAGTTGTGCTCACTGAAGAGGATACTTCAAAACAACCAATCAAGAGGGGTAGAAATAGTTGGGACGAAATTCAAAAAGGCTTAAATCAATGAGGATGGAATTTGAAGACTTTGAATTTTATGTTGTATCTCTTAGCAGTGACTTATAGTTTGCAACTTTTAAGTTGTACCCATAAGTGTATTTAGAAGAATTTGAATTATTATGTGTTTTGGTTATACTGTAATCTATGAGCATTGACTTTTAATTTTGGTTAGGCTATAATCTAAGACCATGTATCAGATCATTTTAGGGATGCAATTTTAATGAATCAATTTCATGTCAATTTGTTGTGAGATTGTTTGTCAAATTAGGAAAACTATGCCAATGTTTTAGGCCACAGTATGCCAAAATTGAGGCAAAGTATGTCAAAAAATTTAGAAGTAACTATGCAAAAATTTAGAAGTCAGTATGCCAAATTTTAGAAGTAACTATGCAAAATTTTAGTCATTATTTGAGCAAAACTCTTTCAGTTAAACCAACATCGTATCAAATTTATACAACAATCATTACATTGATCAAACACAATTCCATTAGAAACAATTAGAAACACAATGATCAAACACAATTCCACTACGTTGATCAAACACAATTCCATTAGAAATAATTAGAAACACAATCATTTCATTGATCAAACAACCTTACTTTATAAAAGAAACTACAAAACAGAAAAGCTTGATTTTTCCAGCCCATGCCTCTGATCTTGATTTCTCTTGTAGCTTCATGTTCTTCTTCTTGGAACCTTCGTACAACTCCCTCAGCAATTCAATTGTCTCTAATTCCTTCTGCTTATAGTTTTCTACATGTTCAACACCATTAACATCTTCTCCAACCAAATCTTCATCCCATATGAATAAATCACAAGTTTCTTCACTCTTCCAAAATGGACATCTCCAGAAAATCCTGCCTTTATTATGACCATTCTTGCAGATGTATGCAACCATATGAGCTTCACAATCGCAATTCCTTCCTCGACAGCATCTCATAGAGGACGAAGACATGCTCATGGGTTTCGTAGCACTTTTTCTGGAATATCAAATCGACCTTTCTTTGATGAGGAAGCTTTTACTGCAATTAGGTCACGTACAAAAAGGAAGAAAGACGTCACAAAGTACAAAAGGGAAGAAAGACGTCACAAAGTACAAAAGAGAAGAAAGAGGACGTCACATGTAAAATATTTAAAAAAAGTAAACATTGAAATTTTGATCTCACATATTAGAGATTTATTAATGCATCGAATGATAGAACGCAATCTAAATAAGGCATTAAGCCTTTAAAGCCATCTTTTTTCTTTTTAGTGTATTTTTAAAAGGTTTCTTTTTAAGGCGACACTCTTAAAATTCTTGATAAAATGACTTTGTTTTTTAAAGCATTGTTATAAGTAAAAAAAGAAGAGTTTTCTTTTTTTAATAAATAAAACAATGTCGATAGGCTTGAAAAAGAAGAGCACTTTTAAAATAAAGCAGTGTAACTAATTTTTTAAATTTTTTTACATAGAATTTAAGAACGATTGATATAACAAGTGTTGTTAAACTATTAAATAGTAAGAGTGTTTTTTGAAAAAAAATATTTAAAATAAAAAAGATTAAATACCAAAATATAATAATGTGTTCACAAAATAAGTTTTATATTATATGTACATTCATCACATAATAGGAAATAATGCATACGTTTAAAAATACACGACATTTTATTTAAATAAACTATTAGATTGATCCAAACTCATATATCGTGGTCATTTTTCACATAGAGAATATCATCAATGGTTGGATCAATATATAAAATGATGTCTCAATAAAAGGACAATTAGTATTAATATTTTCACATTCTTTCTTGTTGTGATCGTTAAATTTGTTTGTTAGAAGCATAATATACCACTTTTGTCAGCAAGTGTGATGATATAAAATACTTTGTGAGGTTGTAAACACCACTATTGTTTTCAACCCACTTCTAACAAAGCATTGACACAGGGGGAGAAATTCAACTCCCATATACACTCAATAACTTAAAAATATAATATGTCGAAAATGACAAATTTTCAATAATACGAAAAACTCCTTTCACCATGGTTGAAAAATGGATACCATCACGCCTGACCAACCTTGATGACGTATGGTGTGGTTGTAGGTTCATTGTTTTCAACCACGGGCGTGCAACCATTGTGATAGACTATATAGCGCGCCACCTATCATAAAAATTGACTTAAACAACTATTTTCATAAATAGGGTCATGAGTTCAATACCCACCTGCAACCAAATTAAAGCACATAAAAAATAACATTTCACCGTGGTTATATACTTCAACCGTAGTGGTATGTGTAAGAGTTTATATGAAATATGAGTTTTCTTGTTTTTCCTTGCTTCATACAATTTTGAGATAATAATCAGAAAAATTAAATTATTCTGGAAAAAAACTTAAACGATCCAATGTTTTTAGATTCGTATGCATCTTGCAATTCATGATTTCCTCATTAAACCATGTAATTTGATTCAATCACAAATTCTTCAAAGTAATGGTGATGAATGAATGTCTTCTAAGTCTTTCACACAAGACTTGATTTCCTCTTTTTTCTAGTTTATTTTGCAAACATCAAATTTTGTGTAAAAGACTCATAATGGAATCCATTTATCATCATTTTTTTGAAGAATTTGTGTAATTGAATCAAATTCTATAGGCTAAAGAGGAAATTGTGAATTACGATATGCATGCAAATAAAAATACATTTGATTGTTTAAGTTGATTTTCAAGAATAATTTAATTTTTCTGATTATTATCTCAAAAATATATTTAAATGAATGCAAGTTCAATGAGGGGTTAGTGAAACAATCAATCACGTATGATATAACAAACTCAATAACAACATTTATCAATAACATACGTCAATTAACATAGATTGGTAGAACATTCTGAAGCTAGTAGGATTATACCTGAGTGAATCACACACTCAAAGATACAATAGAGTGGCCACCAAACTTTACTTAGTCCCAAAGGACAGGGAGAATATCGATAAAACCCAAGGGAAGAGAAATAGGAAAGGGGGTCGGTTATGCGAAAGGAAGGTACTAGCACCTTAAACATCCGTCGTACTCGACGAGAACCATTTCGCTTACTTCTAGGCTTGGATGGGTTATCTATCTAAAGGCTTCTAACTAAAAAAGAAAGGAAAGGAGAGAGAGGAAATAAAAAGGAAAAGAACGTGCTCGCGGAGGATTAGGGCCCTTTTGCCTACGTACCCTCATAGTGCAATGAGGAAGTCATAGCTCCTTAGTTCAGGAAACTAGGAAAAAAGGGGAGATCTGGGCGGAACAAGGATATAGAAGAATGCAAGAAGACGGAGGAAGGTGGCTCGCCAAGATTTCACAATCTTGTGTCTATGTACCCTCATAATGCAATGAGGAAATCATAACGTACGTAGTTCGGAGAACCAATGCTAAAAAAGGTAAAAGAAAAAGGACAGCGTCAAAGCCACGAACGAAAAGAGGGAAGTAAGATCCAACTGGAGAATGCAAGAGGAATGGTGTCAAATACAAGAAAGAAAAAGAAAGATAACTATGTTGAGGAACTCAAAAAAGAAGTGATAGCTCCATTAGGGGAACACTGAAGAATAGATATGACTCCACCGGGGAGGGAACAAAAGGATGGTGACATGGCCAGAGAAAAAAGGCAACAATCGAGATAAAAAGGTAAGATCTACAGAAAACTCAGTACATTAACTGACAAGAGTGATTAACCGAAGAAAATAAAATAAAGATTCTATGGGAAAAGCCAAACGATTGGTGTCGACAGATGGACTGCGAGGAACCAGAAGAAAGAGAGTAATAAATCAAAGAAAGGTGTTAACACCGAGGGGATTGTGGTATATTAATTGATAAACAGTTGTTAAACGAAACAAAGGAAAGGATGTGGTTTTAACAGATAGACGATGATCAACCAAAAGATGGTGCGAAACCAAGAAAAGGTTGTGACTCAAAGTATGGTACACTGACTGAACAAACAGTACTCAACCAAAGGAAAGGGTATTCGAACCAAACAAAGGTTACTAACCTAAACATGGAAATATTTGAACCAAAGAAAGGTTACTAATTGCAGGTGGTTTGGTGTTTAACAAGCGGACTGCGATTAACCGAAAAGAATGAGTGATTAGCCAAGAGAAGGTGATTGACTAAAAAGAAGCTCAGTATCTTAAAAGACGGACTGGGTTAACTGAGGAAAAAAGAATTGGTTCAAACAGGCAGAATTTGATTGACCAAAAGGTGGGTGATTAACTAAGAGAAGGTGATTAACCCAAAGAAAAGCTGGTTTTAATGGACATACCGTGATCAACCACAGACTGGGTGATTAGCCGAAAGAAGGCGATTAACCCAAAGAAAGCTCAGTATTAAAAGACAGACTATGATTAACTAAGGAAAAGGAGACCGGTGTTTAACTGACAGACAGTGGTAAACCAGGCAAGAAAGAAAGAGAACCGAGAGAAGGTTGCAAATTCCGGTGGGGATTAAGTTTAACAGGAAGACTGTTTAACCGAAGAAAAATGATTGACTTTGTTGGGAAGAAGAGAATTGGTCTTAACCGAAGGACGGTTGATCAACCAAGCAAAAGGAATTGAATAAAAAATCTAAAGGGAAACCAAGAATGGGTTGGCCACAAGAGAAAAGGGAAACAAAAGGAGAAGGCAACTTCCAAATAGGAGGTTAGGGTGCAAGTGATCAAGGATCGACTCGACTGGAGGAACAGAGAAACCAATGTAAGGAGATAGAGGCGACTATTCTAGGCACAGGGTCATTCGTCCCCTACCCAAAATAGTCAGAATGAATGTAGGAATTCTCCACTCTCATTCTTTCTCTAACACCAAAGTGCGGTGCAAGAAACGAAACGGACAACACAACAACGCAAAATTTGTACGGTGCTCCAATGTGTTGCGAATCTTTAACTCCGTGGGGGAAAAGAGAGGAAAAAGCTCAAAAAGATCTAAAGGAGGAGAAAAAGAGAAGATAGACTAATCGAAATGAAGTTTCGATTAATTAACCAAAGGGCAAAGATATGCTAACAATTTTCCAAAGGAATGAAAAATCGTTAAAGCAAAAGGGAAATTATTGATTATACAAGATTAAGATTATTCCAAAGAGGAACAAATCTTAATGCAAACATAAATGGAACTGTAAAACAGTACCAAAGTCAATTAGCATGCATCACAAACCAAGTAATCATGTGATCAAAGATTAGGCAAAAATGAACATGATCATATAATGCCAAAAATGCAAACAAATGCGAAATCGATAAAATCAGACATTGGAAAATGCACAAGCATGCTTCAATCAAGAGTTAAAACATCCATAAACATCAAACATATCAATCCATGAGAAATGAAAGAGGAAGAAATGCCAAGCATACATGAAAAATGCACAAAAATGGCCTTCTGGAGCAGTGTTAATTGATTAACACTTTGCCTGTGCAAAAGTGTTAATTGATTAACCCTTTTAAAACAGGCAGATTTTGCTGAAAAATAAAAGGTTAATTGATTAACACTTTGCTAGTGCAAAAGTATTAATCAATTAACATTGGAATAGAGCCTAAAACTTGATTTTTCAAAAGCACTTTTGTCTAATTTTAATTTGTGCAATCCTTCACATGTTAGGGCAAACAATCATGCACGAAAATAAAGTCCAAAAATAGCAAATAATCACTTATGGAATCAATTAGAATATCAAGAATGAAGATCAAATCATGGCATAATCAATTTGCAAACGAGAAAAAACGTCGAAACTACATCGCAAACGATACGGTAACGATCAAAACAGTGAAAAGAGTGAGAATTAACCAACGTACAAGGCTGAGATTTTCCTTGGATGTTTTTGAAAAGGGAATGTGATGAAGCTACTCAAAGAAATCCAGAGAAAACAGAATTCACAATCGAACCGTAGCGAAACCGAGCAAATTCCGACA